TTTATTTGGAAAGGCAAAGGAACTGGAATAGCCAAAACAATTTTTAAAAAGAGTAAAGTTGGAGGAATCACACTACTTGATTTTAATACTTACTATAAAGCAGAAATAGTTAAAACGGTGTGGTATTGGTGATGAGATAGATACATAGATCAATGAAACAAATCCACACAAATATAACCAACCGATTTTTGACAGCAGTAGAAAAGCAATTCAATGGAGAAAGGATAGTTATTTCAACAAATGGTTTTGGAACAACTGCACATACTTATATATTTTAAAAAATGAACCTCAAGCTCACATCTTATGTAAAAATTAACTCAAACTGGATCCTAGATCAAATCTAGAATGTAAAAATATTCATTGAGCATCTATTCACACACAGCTACGCACATGGGTGTGCCCTGGCTCTCACTAGTCAGTCTTTAACACCCCTGCTCAAGTTTTCCTTTCTCCCCCTGAAGCTGCCCTATTCAGGAGCCCACCCTGACCACCCACAGCATCATGAGCCCTTGGGCTCAGCAGCCCACCATCACCTCCCCACCTGCGTCCTCCCCACGCCCTCCTGTGTCCTGAGAGCTTTTCTTCAGCATCCTATTCACTTAATCAACCCACTTCCACCTCCCTCTCCTTTTCAATACTGCAGACCCTGACTTAGAAGGCCTCATCACTCCCAGACCACCCAAGTTTCTCTAGTCTCCTGTTTTAAAAAGCAATCTCTTCCAAGAAGCCTTTCTTAGTTAAAAGAAATCTGTGCCTGTGTTGATCCATGATATTTCCCTGACTTTTCCTTCTATTTTTACGTGTATAGACATAGTGCATATATTGCTTCACTTACTGATTTACATGCTTATTCAGAATTTATATTTTTTGGGCATCCTTTATATATTTTGGGATTTGTCTCTGACCATTCTGGCTGGAACTTTCTTTTATTCCTTCTAGAAAGCACCCATGCACAGCACTGTATCTAGACAGATACTAAATGCATACTTGTCTATTGATTGAGATACACTCAAATTAGAAAGAAAGAAGCAGCCTGTGGGTGCGGAGGAACTCACTCCCCAGGGCTCCCTGAAGGAGCGAGCTCATGACAGCCGCCGGTTCAGGAAGAGCCAATCACCGTCCATATCTGTGGCCCTGAAACTTTGTCACTTAGATTCAGCTTATCTGCCAGACCCTTTTGCTGGACTGCCAGGATAGAAGAGCAGCCATAAGTGGAAAACGGAAAGTCTGAGAGTCAGTTACCTAAAGGCACTCTCTTAATAGCTTAATGCCATTCATTTTGGTAGTTACATAATCAGGAGCGAGACAATCCACAGCAAGGATTTCAGAAGTGAAAGTGTTATAGCGTTTTGCACATATTATAATATGGGGGATCATCTTGTCCCTCCATCCAAATAAAAAGGGAGCAAATGGAAATCAAGAAAGAGAGACTTCACTGTTGACTTTCACTGTGAATAAATTCTGAGGGAGAAAACTAAGAGTCCTCGGACAGAAGAAGTCTATGGTGGCGAAACTCAGTTCTAGCTCCTGAAGCCAAACCAGACTTTGAGATTCAGAGAATGTTCCCTCTGGTGCAACTCTTACTTTTTCTAGTGTCACCCAAGTTCCTAACTCCTTCTAAACCCCAAACTACTATTTGGAATTCAGAATTCATGATTCAAAGACAGAAATGAATTTTTCAAGTTCTTTTTGAAACCTCTTCTCTTCATGCACGTGAGCCTTTTGAACACTTCTCTAGTTTAGCAGTAAGTGGAACATTCCCCAAACAGGAAAATATGCCATGAAACCTTGTTATAACATCTTTCCTTTTAGTCTTTTTCTACCTAGATCATTCAGTTTGAAAAGTCCCAGCTTCATTCAGTTTGAAAAGTCCCAGCTGACAGGTTAGAAAACTGTGTTGCTGCCACATCAAATTTTCACACAAAAAATCTTCAGAAAATTTCCTATGAATAGGAAGGATTACAAAGAAAATTTCAGCACATCTGAAGTGACCCATCTGCAGGCAAAAGAGTGGTTACGTAAGCATGAGGGGGGATCAGAGAGAATCCATATTGACTGTGGCTAGCTCCGTTTACCCGATCATCACTGAGAAACTTGGAATGAGAGTGCCCCTCAGACACAGGCATCTCTACCACTAAATGCAGCTGCATGCCAGCAGAAGGAGCTGCTGGGCAGGGGCTGCAGAAGCCTGGGAGGAGCTCTGTCACCTGGTGACGCTGGGCCTCATGATTCCACTTGTCATGTTTTTTAATCTCTTCAGTACCCTGGGATGTACAACAAGAACAGGATAGTGGGGGCAGAAAACAGGAAAATATCAACCGAATGACTGTCTCTGATTTTACACTATGGTTACACACACACACACAGGTTGATCCTCTCAACCTTGATATGAAATTAAACCAAGCATCAATACTTCTTTTTGATATCTACTAATGAAGGGATTGTTACCTGTCTAGCAGCCCAAGAGGAGGCTAACTTGAAAGGACAGGAAAGTCAGCCTGGGCCTCTCTGAACAGCTGTTTTAGAATGCGAAGGACAGCAGCAGTCCAGCTACCAGGAAACCTCAACTTAACTGGAAGGAATCCTTTGATAAAGAAATTAAAGTTTGTCTTTCCATTTTAAGAGTCTTCCCTATCTTTTAGAAAAAAAATGTTTCTGTGAAATAGGAAAATAAACCATATTACTGTGAAATAGAATGCACATACACGAAAGTGTGTAAAACATGAATGTATAGCATAATAGATATTACAAAGCAAACTATATAACCCCTACCAAGGCCAGGAGCCAGAGCACTGCCAGCATCCCTTAGGGGATCTTCTTAACAAAGGTCCTCTCCTCTTGAATAATGGAATAAATTAGTGCCCAATTCCAGACAGTGGAAAGTAAAAGAAAGTTCTAGTTGCTTTATGGCAAAGCCGTATTACCTTTACCTTCATATCTCCCTCATTGCCTCAACAGTGCCTCATTACTAGAAGTTGTTCTACAAATGTTTGTGGATTGAATGCATTTTTTACATGAATAATACCAGAAAAAGAAAACAGAATCATGCTTATTAGTTTTGATGTTTATTTGTGTCCTCTTAATTATACTCAAAATGTGGAGAAAATCAGGCTTAATGTTTCAAAAGAAATTATTATGCATAATACACAACTCAGAAATACAAGGACACGTTTGTTTCTAGTTTTATTTTTCACTTCTGTTTCCTCCAGGTGGTGTGGAGTGTAGTTATAAGGTAAGAATCAGGGAAAGTTATGAGACAGGAGGAAAACTCTTTCCTAGAAAAGCAAGAAAGCAGTAGGGGCTGTCCCTTTGTTCCCGTTCCTCCTCACCTACAGGCGAGTCAAGAAAGAACAGAGGCTCCCTGCAGAGCCTACTTTCTGTAAAACGCCACCTAGTGTCCCTGACCATGAAATTGTTTTGATTTTGCCAAAGACTGAAAAATTGGAAATTCCAAAGCTGTGAACAGATTTGACAAGTCATTACTCAGGTTTCATGGGAGAACGTAAATGTCAGCTGAAGAATCATTTGGACAGATTTTATTTCAGAGAGTACGTCGCCTATTAATAATGGCCATGTCTTCTCCTCTGCACAGAAGTTGACCGAGAAGGAGTCTACACCCTTGAGTGTTTGGTGAGGAAACACCAGCCAGCCCTGTCCACACCTGCCCCCTGAGCTCCCAGGGGGGTCCATAATGAATTAAATCCTGGCTTTCCCAAGGAAAGTCTGGAAGGAAGCTGGTGGGCAGCCTCCGAAGGCACTTGCTGCTGGTTTTGTTTATGGGAGCACGTACAAAGACAATTAAGAATCTGGTTTCAACCTTTCTTCCAAGTTAAGAGGACGCAAAGGTTCTAGACTGTGGCTTTTTTTCCTTAGTCAGGTTTTTTGTTCCTCTGCAAGTTGCTAAAAATCAGACCTCTCTTTCAGCATGCAAAAGTCCCATGCTGGACACGGGTGCCAATGATTTCAAGAGGCATGTGGGAAGAAGGGAAGAGGAAGTGATGGACGATGACAAAGAAGTGTCTCCCCTCCTTTCTTAAAAGCATCCCCACAGCTGTTTCCAGACAGAGACTCCAAAACATAAAGCCTTTGAGCTGTGAACCTCGCTGAAGGCAACAGAATCCCAGGTAAATCAAAGGTGCTTGACCCAGTTAGAATTCATTTGGCAAAACAGCAAAGACCTGGAAGCTCTGTTCTTTGGCCCTAAGTTTCCTGCTTCCAAGCACAAGGACTAACAGAAGTTGACTGTAAATGGGCAAAAGCCATGAATGTAGGCCAGGGAGGGACCTGTTCCAGGTGGTCAGGAGAGTGGCGGGGTGGCGTCAATGACTGGGTGGGAAGTTGGACCAGGTGACCTCTGAGGATCCCATGAATAGATTGCCTTGACTCTCCACACTCCCTTCACTTGGAACCACACAAGAATAGAAAGAACTTTCCCAGTAATTCAATAATTCTAGGTAAAATGAGACCACCTTTGAGTGCTTAGCATGAATTAATAACATAGAATTTTATAAATGGAAGAATAAAAAGAAGCAAGAGAGAGTGAAAAGTCTAAGAGTTGATGTTATGGAAAGCGCGCGCACGTGTGTGTGTGTGTGTGTGTGTGTGTGTGTGTGTGTGTGTGTCCACACCTGTGTATATACTGATGCTGTGCAATTAAATTATAAAAGAAATGATCACTTTTCTTTTCTTGAACTTAGTTATATAGACCCTTATCTCTGCTTAAAGAAATTCAATGTTAGTAAGCGCGCGCGCGTGTGTGTGTGTGTGTGTGTGTGTGTGTGTGTGTGTGTGTGTCCACACCTGTGTATATACTGATGCTGTGCAATTAAATTATAAAAGAAATGATCACTTTTCTTTTCTTGAACTTAGTTATATAGACCCTTATCTCTGCTTAAAGAAATTCAATGTTAGTTGTGCAGCCCTGGCAGAATTTAGACATTAACTGGAAAATGTTATTTGGGTTGGTACATGCATCGGGGTTGTCGGGGGTTCCCAGGTACCTGTTTTGGTCAAAGGGATTGAGAAGAGTTGCTGAAGAAGCTTGTTTTCTGACGTTCTCAGGACTATAACCACATCAGCAGGAAGAGTGTCTCTGTTTTTCTCAAGCACCCCAGAAGCATCATATAAAACCTACAACACGAATAGCAAATAACAAGTTAGCTATATCAAGTATTTATCGCTGGCGACACTGGCAAGCTATCTGGTCAGTCATTAATTGACCTCTGTATAGAATTCAGCTTAACACACATGCTTTCAAATCCAGAGCACCATTTCAGAGGAAAAATTGTAATTTTGACAGGCCAGTATATCTTAACTTTTTGTCTAGTTGCTCTTTGAAGAAAAGAGTCCTATCAAAGATATTCCACATCAAAATAATTATTTAAATACATTAGACTCTCACTATGTGCAAAGCATCCATCCTAGGAGGTAAACATGATTATTAGCTCCATTTTACTGGTGGGCAAACAGAGGCTTAGAGACAGGCTGAATAAAGGTCACACATTTTACAAGTGACAGGCAGACATCAAACCCAGGCAGTTTGGCTCTGTGCTCATAACCACTGTATTCTTACCACCTCCCACGGTACTCACAGGAGCTGAATAATTGTTCATGGATGCTGAAAGGTTCTGGGTTCTCAGAACAGAGTGGATCCAGATCAGAGAAATTTTAAGGAACACCCCAGAGAGTCCCTTGTCTACTAATAAGCTTTGGATAGCAAATGAATTCAACAAAGGACACAGAACCCAGAGGGTTCCTTTCCCCCCTAAAATCAAGAAAGAAGAGGTAGAAAGAGGCAAGAAGAGGGGTGGGTGGGAAGTAGATATAAAAGGACAGAGAGAGGGAAAGAGAGGTGAGAGGAGAGGACAGGCATGGGGGACAGCAGAGAAGAGTGGGCAGGAGGATCAGGTAGATGCTGGTGTCTCGGACTCGGAGGACATTAACGTGTGGTCAGTCATCAGAGCTAAGGCCAATGAAGGATCTAAAGGCAAAAGTTGGATTGCAGTTTCTAAAAAAGATCCAAAACAGACACTGTAAAGTACTCTGTGGACAGGAAAACAACCCCCTTTCTTGTATTGGAATTGCTTTTCAACCAACACCCATTCAGGCAAAATTCATTTCAGTGTCATGATATGAATATGAAAGATAATTTTGATACACCTTAAATCAATAAAATGATCCAAAATGCCTTTTATTGAACTCCTACCCATTTTCTGGACCTAGGGTCTCAGCAGACCCCACAGGAACCAATTATCCGTAGTTCAAATGGCTGCTTTGGGAGTAACATGAGCGATGCGCTGTTGGCTACAGGACTAGAGAATTTCCTGAATCAGTCACTAATTTGCTTCAGGAACTTGAATTCAAGACTGAGGCATAATGTATGAAAGTGGAAATTTAATTTAACGTAAAACTTTAACATCTGGATGATGAAGTGAATTTTTTTCCTTTTCATCTGGGCACTTTTGGAGCCATTAGACATATGCTTAAAGTGTTTAAAAAGTTGAGCCCCACTGTGATATTAACCCTGCTCTATTACCTACACACCTCCAAATGACTTTAGAATGTGAGTATTCACCACTAAACACTGTGGAAAGCTATAATATGCTTTCTCTCTGGAGAGCTGTCAGTTCTAGGCCAAACCTCAGGTAAGAAGCAGATGGCAGCTCTGTGGGCCACCCCAGTGAGAAACTGCCTCTATGCCATGGGCAATTTTCTGTGAACGGCATCACAGAGAAAGTTTGGGAATTATGACTAGGTGTTCACGAAGAATTAAAAGGAGAAAGAAATCTGCAAACGATTTCACGAGTGGCACAGACAGGGTAATACTGACACTTACTCTTTGTCCAATTCAGGTCTAGTAAGGATCACACTCGCCTTACCTTGCCAGCATAGTGCTGAATGCCAAAGCACAGCTCCACTCCTTTGGGCCTCCAGAAGTATTTGCATCGTAGGTTATCTTCAAATTTATCTGTGCGGATTTTCATGTTGGAAAGTTACAATATGAATTGTTTGCCCTTTCAAACAAAAGCATCCTCCTCGAGCCATGAGTGGTCCAGAATAAGGGATTTCAGGCCAGCCTGATATTATCATTGCATATACAAGAGTTGAGAAAAATCACCTGTACAGTGGGCATTTACCTCCTTGTTTTCGTTTAGTTGTTTACTGTTGTTCTTAGAGTCAGGCTGTGCCCTAAGATCACATGTTCTCCTGCTGTCTCTAAAAACTACTAGCATGGACATCAGTGACACCACAGGCCCTGCCAATTAGCTTTAGAACCATGAAGATATCCCATGAAAGGCAGATAACCCTGATCTAAACTCATCTTGGTAACTTGTGACAATATTACAGATAAGAAAAAAACACCGAGGGTGACAATTTCAACTCCTAGAAGTGAATCTGTCCCACAAATCAATTTTCCATTTGGGAAAGGATTGAAACTTGCTGTTCCTCCCTCAACAAACAATTTTTGTATTTTGGTTACAGTGGTTGAGAGCCTGCTAGGCGTGAGGAACTGTACTAAGTACTAAAGGGATGCCAGGATTGGGACTTCGCTGCCCCAAGTATCTCACAATCTAAGTGAGTCACAAAACTCATGTCGAACACAGAAGATTCGAGATGAAGAAGAAGGTCAAGAGGAACAGGGGGAAAATACAGAGGGCTTTCGATGCCAGGAGTTCCACAGTCATTCCATGGATAACAGTAACCTAATGAAAGGTGGCTGAAGAAAGATTACACCAGCTGGGACGTCCAGGGTAGAGGGGAAAATAAGAGCCTGGGAGTCAGAAGAGTGGATTAACTTGTACTAGAGGCAGATGGGGGTCCAGGCAAAGATATGAGAGGGGGGTACAAAAAGGAGGGGAAGTAAGTATTGGTTATGGGAAATAAGAGAGGGGAAGGTGTAAAAATGATATCAACATAAGGTCATAGTATTTGTGTTGGCAGAAATAGGAAAGTGGAGAGGGTTTAGAGATGGTGATGGGTTTTCTTCAAGACACAAATTCTACCAGGACATTTCAATTCAATTACAAACAGGGTCTATATTTTTACAACCCACCACTAGCTAAAATACATAAGGTGGATTCATCAAAGCATACTCATTTGATGACATATGCCAAGTTTTGTTCTAAGTGTACTGTATATTCCTTTTTTCCAAAAGGTACCTACCAACCAGGGTCTGGTCAGTTGCTTGGGGAAACCGACTTTCCTCATCCAAAAGCGCAAGCAGTCCCAGCGGTTTCTGGAGGAACATGTCCAAGAGTGGGCGATTGTCTTCATACTCCACAGGTGTAGCATCAATGCCCTCATTCTGATATTCCATCTGGAGAGAAATGAATTGTGAATCTGCCCAGTCTGGAACTGGCCTCAGTACCTCTAGGATACTTGGGCATGGACTTTCTGGGTCTGGCAACATTGAATGTATGTGGAAAACAGGGTGTGTTTCACGTGTTTAGTAAGGGAATCCCCTACATATAACACTGTGCAAAATGTGTATTTAAGTCTGGCTTACAGGTGGCCTGTGGCAGGCTGCTAAAGCCAGCACTAGCCGTCTCCCAAACACAGACTTGGTAACTCATAATTTAGAAACTAATGTAGAAAGAAAGTGAAGCTGAAAAAGAAATGATTTTGGTGACAAATATGGTTTAAACTGGAAAGAAAGCAGATCTCTATTTTCTGCAAGGGATTCTGCAAGGGAGTCATTTAGGGCTGGAAAATTAGAACTCCAGATTTCCCAGGGAAATAAATGGAAGGAACCTGGACTGAAATGATGTCGAGTTTTGTTTAGGGTGGGCAGGGTAAGAAGGGATATACAGATTTATCCAGCTCCAGCGATAAAACCAAAACTGGTGTTTTAACTCAACGTCTTTGCGCTTATCTAATCACAGTTTAGTAGGTGTTTCCTCACTATTGCATTGAAACAAATTCCTGCACCTATGGGGTTTGTTCAGAATGTTTCTTTGCTGCAACTCTTTCATACAGACGAGAGTCTAGTTAAGTAGGGGTCGGGATGAAGCTGACTCTGCTATACAGTCTATTGCCACAGAAAGGTCCACTAGCTTCTCACCCTGTTTAATTTACCATTAAACTCATAGGGGAGAGACTTCCATTTCTAGAAAACCAAGAACATATTTTACTCTCTCCTGGAGACACTCCTCCAGTTACTGTGGGATCTGGTACATAGGAGATGGGGGATAAAGATGGCTAGTTTAGGAGCTAAGAACCTATGTCCTCAATTCAAGATCATCCTGTGTCATTTTGGACATAGTCATAGATATTTTTAGTTGAATAAGGAAGAAGAGAATTTGGGGCAATACACATGAGTTTTGAAGCAGGATTTAAATAATTGGCTTGTCACTGCCTCCACTCAAGTGAGGAAATGTACCTTTCCACAAAAATCAAAACCTCTTTTTTTCAGACTAAATTTAGACTGTTCATTTATTTTGACAGGACCGCCTCTGCAGTGGTTTTTCTCTAGAGTCTTTTACCTGTTAGCCCAACTAACAAGGTATTTGCTTCAAATTATAGACAGCTTGCAGACACCTTTTCCCCATCAGGTATAGTTACTTCAGAGTTCACTATTACCTGCTCGAGAGCAAAGACACGCTGATTGAAATAGTACTGGATTTGCTCATTGGCGATGTTTATGCAGAGCTGCTCAAATGAATTTCTCTGGAAGTTCTCAAATCCAAAAATATCCAAGATCCCCACATTCATTCCGTCATCTGCACTACTGCATGAGAGAGAAGAATAAAACTGTTGAGAGGAGGAAACCTCCAACTCAAGATGATGAGAATGTGCCACTCATGCAAAGCAGCATCCTGCCACCTCTAGGGGAGGAAACAGTTTGTGTCTTAAACCATTTGTTCCTTTGGTCTTTCAACAGTATTTCCAACTTCTTTTCTCAAAAAAGTAGAATCTTTCAAAATCTTGCTCAGAAGCTCCATATATAAACCAAATGAAAGAGGAGCCACTCTGTTTGAGGCTGCTGCTCATTCATTCTTCCACCTACCTCCCCAGCAAGCTTAACTGGAAGAGAACTCTCCAGAATTTGATGTTGTCTGTTCTTACACAATACAGGAAACCATCGATGCTTAGGAAAGAAAAAGTAGTAGAAGTAGGAGTAATCATAATGTAACACACCATGCTTTAAAACTTTCCATGAATGTCGCATTTGATTCTAAAAACAACACTATGAGGAGGATATTATCCTCATTTTACAGGTAAGAAAAGCCGACTTAGAACGTGCAGCTCATTAAGCTATATGGATGTGAACCCAGTTTGCCCAGCTCCCAGCCAAGCCTGTTCTCTTAAACACTATACTTTAATGGCTCCATCAATCATTAATTAGCCTCTCAGTATAAACACTTCAATTTTCCTGGATCCTATTGTATCTGTTAAAGGAGAAGGCCTGAGAGGTTTGCTAAAGAAAACCCCAGAGAGGACCATATGCTTCCTCTTGCAAAGTCTAAGAGACACCAGGGTTGATGACAGCTCTCTCGAGGCCTCTGCTCCCCAGGGGAACTTGCCATATGTTTTTGTCTGGCTGCAGGAGTGTATTGATGCGATTCACAATCCAGCTGAAGAGCCTCCCATACAGGGCTTTGGACATGGCATCTCGGACATCTGCAGCCCTGTCGACAGTGTTGGCACGGACAATGGTCTCACCCCGGGTGACCACACAGTGCGAGGTGAGGGCCTCCTGGAGCTCTTCAGGGCTGATGCAGAGAACTGAAGCAGCTGCAGCAAAGAGTAAGGTTGACACTGGAGAATGTGAGCATACCTTCATTCATTTAGTTTTGTGTTAGCATTTATTCAATATCTACTATGGGCCGGGCTCTATCCGTTTGTTTATAGATAAACAAACGAGGTCCCCAGTGCCAAGAAGCATGCAGACTAACACAGTATCTCCCAAACTGTTCTGAAAGCTCTTCACAGGTGTTTGATGAAAGAGAAGGGGAGGAGGTTGTCTTTTGTCAGATAAGTTGGAGGAATAGCTACGGACGATATTCTCCTCTTAGAGAATCACAAAGTACATTAGTATATTAAAGGCCCTAAAAAGTGTTGCAGTTTAACACAAAAGGGTATTTCATACATTAAATGAGTTTGTTTGTTTTTTTATAACTGAGGATTCTTTCTGCATGCCTCATAATTACCTGTGGAACTTTAAAAACATAAATAGGCACCTGCTTTTTCTACTGTAGATGCAAATTCAGTGGGTTTAGAGTGGGGCCCAACCTCTTGCATTTTTTTTTCAAAAATTTGTAGATGATTTTCAAAAGGAGCTAAGGTTAAGAACACAAAGTTGCCTGTCACGGAACCCTTTTCTGCTGAACACCTACTTGTAGCTTATGAAAGGAACACTGATGTTCCATAGGACATCTTTTGGGAAATACCAGTTAATGAAAACATCCAGAGTCAGGAGAAAAACCAGAGACAGGTTTATTACATTTTACAGAGTTTTGAAGAACTACCAAAGTGAAAGAAACACATGCTTTGGCAACACAGCACACAAGCATGAAATAATTACCATTTTCCAAAGCTTCAGCATTGGGCACCTCACTTTTATCAGTTTGATGTTGAGAGGAAATAGCTGCAAACTCAATGTTCCCAATATTCAAAATCCCAGCCAAAATTCTGTACACTGAGTGCACCTCCTGAAAAGGACATTGAGAGCCACGTTTGAAGGACATTGCCAATCAAACCAATGAACCACTAGCCCTGTGTTGGAAACTGCTGCTAGATGTCTGCCAAAATCCATTCTCCCCCTTTTCCTGGGCACACAGACAAATTTCCCAATCTCCCTTGCAGGTAGGGGTGGCCATGTAACTAAATTTTAACAAATGAGCAAGCAGAGGGATGTGGGCCACTTCTGGGCTGAGGCCTTACAAAAGTGAGCATGCATTCTCCATGCTTTCTCTCATTACCACTGGCTGGAACTCCCAGCAACCTGCCTCAAATGTGCCATTGATGACAATGCTTCAGACAACAATTGCATGGAATGGAGTTGCTCTCAACCTGAACCACTTATCTTGGAATGGTTATGTAGGAGAGAACTGATCTTTGTTGCTTAAGCTACTTTTAGCCTTTTGCCCTAACTAGTACCAGCTCCCAAACTCAGATATGGTCTTTTATTCAAAGCAAGAGAGGAGGTGTTTCCTTAACCTCTTCTGAACATAGCTTTTATGAAATAGTTAGGAGGGCATTCATTGATTCCTCACTAGAACATGTTGAAGTTAAATGATGGAGTAGATAGTTATAAGTGACGTGAAAAAATATTTTGAAAGACTCACTAGAAATTATCTGTGATATTGTGATATAATAAGTATGTATTTAGACTTTGTTCCTAGTTCTCAGCACAAGAGCTTCTAAACCTCTTTAAGTGAGAAATAAAGGGAATAGGAGTCTTGTTATTCACAACAAGGCCTTTCAACCATACCTGAGTTTATGCTCAGCAGGTGACTCTTGGTGGGCCTCTAGATAGCTTCAGGATGGGGGCTGGCTGCCAGAGGAACTGCTCATGTGATTAAAGGGTTGGAACTTTCAGCCCTCTAACCCCAACACTCCCACCCCCACCCCCAGCCTCTGAGGAGGGGAAAGGGGCTGGAGATTGAGTTAATCACCAACGGACCAATGATTAATCAATCAAGCATATGTAATGGAACATCCATAAAATTCCATGAATGACAGGATTTGGAGAGCTTCCAGGCTGGCGAACACATGGAGGCACTGGGTGGGTGGTGTGCCCAGAGCGCGTGGGAACTTTGCACGCCTTCCCCCATATCTTGCCTGACACGTTTTTTTCCACTTGCCATTCCTGAGTTCTGTCCTTTGTAATAAACCGCTAGCAGTAAGTTAGGTGTTTTTCTGAGTTCTGTGAGCCATTCTAGCAAATTATCAAACCTAAGGAAGAACTTATGGAAACTCCAATGTATAGCCAGCCAGTCGGAAGTGCAGGAGGCCTGGGAGTTGCGACTGTGTCTGAAGTGGGAGCAGTCTTGTAGAACTGAGCTCTTAACTTGTAGGATCTGATGCTAACTCCAGGTAGATAGTGTCAGAATTGAATTGAATTGTAAGACATACACCTGGTGTCAGAGAACTGATTGGTGTGAGGGAATAACCCCTGACATATTTGGTGTCAGAAATATAAGTAAAGACAGTTCAGATTATCTAAGTCCTATTTTTATATTGAAAGTTGAAAACATAAGTAGCATTAATGGTAAAAAAAAAGTATATTTATTTATTTAAAAATTTACGTTTTCTCTATGTGAAACAATTAAAGGTATAGCCAGGAAATTTCTGCATCTTATGCTTAAAGATAGAAAAAAAATGCTTTCACAAAAAATACTCAGGCAGGTAACTTGATTTAGTCCTATACATAACAGCAAACTAACAGAATTGTCATTAGACCATTGATAAGCATTGCCCCCCAAACTGAGTCTTCCTGTAAATGTTATTCAGTAAAGCCAAAAAACTGAACACAGACTGTAATAGTGACATCTGCTGGAAACCTGATAATGCTACAAAGACAAATGAAGATTTTAAACCAGGCTTCTATTATTGATAAATATTGTTCTTCCAACTTCTAAATCAAAGGCAAAATGTCATGTTTCTGACTTCAAGAATCACTGTTTAATCACACAATATAAGAGTGGCTAAGGAGAACAGCTACCAAATGGGTTTTCTGGGACTTGCTGGATTTAACATGACAGCACCTCATTACCTTGATCAATATAGTGCAAGCCTTGCCGAATGCATTGAGCAACTTCGCACAGAGGCAGACCTCAAAAGGTAAAACAGAGACTGTCGAGGCTATCTAGCAGTGAGTTCTGCTATTTCTATGTCCAGTTGTTTCAAGAGGTTATCTAAAACTCTCAGGAGTCTTAGATTAAAAAAAAAAAAAAAGTATTTCCTCTTATTAACACACACACACTTTATGTATTATAGTACAATCCATGGAACCTCCCCAAAGAAGATTTCCAGGCATTTCATCATTGTGATGATCTACCCCAAAGAAAATGGCTATCAAAGGCCATACCCTTGAGACCAGCATCTTGCCCCATTGTTTCTCTGGCAATATCCTCTTCAGCATAATGCCCAGGCAGCCATTTAAAGTGGAAAACTACCTATGATCTTGAGCAAAAACTTTGAGCTTCAAACACTGAAGTTAACAGTAGTTTGGGTCTCCTCCCTTGGTTCAGTGAGGGAAGTAGGGACAGGGTATCCAGTGCTCACCTCATTAAGGAGTTATTAGCCTTTGGGTGCTCCCTGGGCTACATGTCTGATCTATTCCACCCACTTGACTCCTTTAGCCCTACCCTTGAGTTAATGAGTTCTTCCTTTCTGCTATGGATTGAATTGTGTCCCCCAAAGTTTGATGTCTTAGAAACTTAAATCCCATTGTGACAGTGTTAAGAGTGTGGGAAATCCTATTACAGTAATTGAAAAGTGGGGCCTTGAAGAGGTAACTAGATTGTGATGACCAAGCCCTACGGAATGGATTAATCCATTGAGGTTTAATGGTGGTCATGGGTGTGGTTCTGGTGACTTTAAAAGGAGAGCACATAAAAAGCTCTCTCTCTCCCTCTCTCTCTCTCTCTCTCCCCCTCTCTCCCCCCTCTCTGCTCAGGCCATTGGCCGGGTGATAGGCTGCATTGCTGTGTAGTCACCACCAAGAACAAGGCCCTCACCAGAAGTGTTCCCTAGACTTTGGACTTCCCAGCTTCTGGAACTGTAAGCAATAAATAGTTTATTTATAAATTACCTTGTTTCAGGCATTTCTGTTATAAATAGCATGAAGAGACTAATAATACACTTTCTGACCTAGGAACTGAAATCCACCTCCATGTTCAGGTCAGAACACCATCCATAGACTGTCACGGTAGAGTTCAGTTGTATGTCCATCTATGGGGTCACTTCTCTCTCCTGAAACTTCTTGGTCAAATTTCTCTTCTTTTCTCCCCACAGACATCCTGGAAAGTTTTTTTTTTTTCACCCTCCTTGCCTTGCTCATTTTCTCTTGCCTCATCTCCAGCTATGGAGCCTTTCCTGGCATCTCTGCCTTTCCTACAGTCTTGCTATGCTGCTCTCTCTTTTTATTTCCTACCAGTTTCTAACTTTCTATATGATATAATGGAATGACCTCATTCAGAACAAGAAGTATTATCAAGAAGACTAACAAGTCCCCCAATTGGGTTTCTCAACTTATTGTTGATGGGTATGAACACAGCTTAATCACCAGTCAGCAAAAGTGAGGAAGAGAGAGCATTTCTTCATCAAAGCCCCATCGCAGGATGTACAGTCTTTGCTCCTCTCTTTTGCTCAGAAGACACTTCTTTCACTGATGTAGGTATTCCCTAGACATACTTGAGGCTAAGTTGAATGTTGAGAAGAACCTTGGTTTTCTCACTAACCTGGTGCTGATTTAAGGAAATCACCCCTGGCCTGGCTCATAGGAATCTCAGGTAGTTATTTCTCTGGTACCTCCCTAGGAATTTACTTCCCCTCCTAGTCTCTCTTCTTTGTTTTCCTTTTCTGTAAGTCTTTTTAGTTTTTAACCAGTTCTGCCCTAAACACAGCATTAGGACCAGCTGAAGGGCCTTCTCCCTATAGGCTCTATTCCAACGCCTTTACTCAGTCTCCTTTGCAGAGGCTAACAGCATTCAGCATCTTAAAAGTCAATGGCCACTGCTGGGTGTATACCCAAAGGCATGGAAAACACCAAGTTGAAGGATACATGCACTCCCATGGTCATTGCAGCTCTATTTACAATAGCCAAGATATGGAAGCAACCTAAATGTCCATCAATGGATGACCAGATAAGGAAAATGTGGTTTATATACACAATGGAATACTGCTCAGCCATAAAAAACAATGAAATTCTGTCATTTGCAGCAATATGGATGAGCCTGGAGAAAATTAAGTCAAGTGAAATAAGCCAGAATTTCTTTTCATTTCAGAAAGAGAAATACTGCATGTTCTCACTCATAACTGGTTGCTTGGAAGGAAGGAAGGAAGGAAGGAAGGAAGGAAGGAAGGAAGGAAGGAAGGAAGGAAGGGGAGGGAGGGAGGGAGGGGAAGAGAGAGAGAGAGAGAGAGAGAGAGAGAGAGAGAGAGAGAGAGAGAGAGAGAGAGAGAGAGAGAGAGAGAGAGAGAGAGAGAGAGAGAGAGAGAGAGAGAGAGAGAGAGAGAGAGAGAGAGAGAGAGAGAGAGAGAGAGAGAGAGAGAGAGAGAGAGAGAGAGAGAGAGAGAGAGAGAGAGAGAGAGAGAGAGAGAGAGAGAGAGAGAGAGAGAGAGAGAGAGAGAGAGAGAGAGAGAGAGAGAGAGAGAGAGAGAGAGAGAGAGAGAGAGAGAGAGAGAGAGAGAGAGAGAGAGAGAGAGAGAGAGAGAGAGAGAGAGAGAGAGAGAGAGAGAGAGAGAGAAGAGAAGAGAAGAGAAGAGAAGAGAAGAGAAGAGAAGAGAAGAGAAGAGAAGAAAAAGACCATAATAATACATTGAACTTTCAGAAGGAGAGAACAAACCTAAGGATACTAGAGATGAGGGAGGGGAGGGACAGGGTTGGGGAGGGATTGGTTGGGTAAGGGGCATAAAGAATAATTACAATTTGGAATAATTAATATGCTAATAAAATTATTTTTTTAAAAGTCAGTGGTACCCTATTGTCTGTCATCAACACATTGGAAATCCCTTAAGGCCCCCAAGTTATATTTTAACATATAGCCCTTCAATCTCTCTTCAGCAGTACTTGCTCAATTTATAATCTATTTTGAAGAAAGGGAAGAAATGTTGCCTGGATTTCAAAGGCTTCTCCCTAACCTCTGCATCCAGGGATCTACAGTATCTTGACCACCACATAGATCATCTCACTAACAAGTTTTCATGTAGTATTAAATATAAACACACCTAAAACTCAATTTATTTAATGTGTTATGATAATTGCTATACCAGCAAGACAGCATAATATGAAACAAAAATAGTATGGTTTGGCTCTAGAAATAAAAGTTCAAAAGCACTGATCATCACAATAGGGTCTTAGACATAATCCCCCAAGCCCTCTTCAAGGAGCCATCATCTTACTGGAAGATTCCTTTCACCAGGGAAGTTTCTTTACAACAAACTCAGGGTCAAGTTTTCTTTCAAATACTTTTGGCTGGTGCCCCAGAATTCAAATTCATGCTCCTGAGTTTACACTAAGGTTTGCTACTCATAATTTTGCTGTAAAGTTTTGGGAAAAACCTGAAGGGAACTAGTGACATTATAAGAAAGGACAGGAACCATGATTTTCATTAAATTGACCAATTCATTTAAGGTCTGTCTAGAAATATCTGCCAGAAAAACTTAAGAGAAAGTTCTGTCACATGGGCTATTTGGCATCTGCTGCCTGACTACACGCAACTGAATCTTTCTGAATTTAGCCTCACTACTCGGGGTTTATAAACATAAAGCAAACTGAGTTAATTCAGCAAAACAGGTTGTCTGCAGAGATATAACCACAGAATTTAGGGTGAGAGAGATAAAGTCTAGCCTCTTTTATTTCCAACATTGCTAGCTGACATAAGTTGGTTTGTTTCCGGTGTGAATTAATGTGGGCCATGGTGATGATACAGACACACATATCATTACATTCTGGTTATTCATCTGACAATCCAGACTAGGCACAAATTAAGAATGTTCCCCATCTTTACATTTGTTTCTTTTCATATTCATTCATACAGTCATTCGTTCATTTCTATTGTATTTTTTTTCCACAGGGGTTAGGGATGGCTTGCTTCAAGGACATATACTTAATATACTTAATTTCTTCTGTTTCTAATTTTTTAAGCTTAAAACAGATAGCACCTGTTTTATTATTATTAGCAGTACATTTCTATTATTAGAACAGTTCCATTATAGACTTTCTCTTAGAGCTAGGACTGATCTCTTCACAGTATTCTATAACTATCTTTGTACTCACTGAAAGCAAAATATTGTCAATCCTATGGGCTGACTTCTCTATGGTTCCTACACCCTTTTAAGGAAGTATGGCCTGAATACTTTGGCATGATCAGGTGATTTTAAATGGCTCTATGACATCTCTACCATGCTTTGATTCTTCTGGTGATGCATCTTTGATAAAAACTAGCTGTATAAGTTAATAACCATAAAGGTCCTTTAACAATGCTGGAATCTGTTTAATTGCTCTCCTCTAAGGAGCCAAGGGAAATATATTTCTATTTTTATCTGCCCTTTGGGATCTTCCACTGTCTGTCAGTTTAAAGTCTATGGGAGGCTGACAGAGAAAATTAACAGCTGGCTAGACTAAAATCAGCCATGCTGGGGAGGGAAGGGCTAGACAAACTCATTGGATTACAGAAGCAATCCTTTATCTAGAGTGGCTGTCTAGGTATAACTGGAGTGTCTTGTAATCTAATCCCTTAAGATTTAACACTCTCACCTACCTCCTAATCATTCACCCCCTTTGTTGGAAAAGCAACAGAATCTATATATTTTGCAAAATTGATGGCATGAAGCCCAGAAACTATGACATAATGTATCACAGAATAATATTTGAGCCTAGGGTTATAAATATTATCTGTCACCCCTAGCATATATTTTAATAGAGACAGCCTGCATCTAGTAAGATAAAAGTAGAACAGTACTCAGAGCTATAGTTAATAACGTGCAACCGTGTACCGTGGAGAAGGAAGTGACTGCAAGAAAGTTGAAAGGGTTTTAATTAATCTGTCTTGGTGCACAAGGAACTACTCGCATAAATATGTTTCTGTGGCTTGGGTGTAACCTACATATCTCTGTCCTTCTATTCACAATTCACTTAAATGGTTGAAACAACCCCAACTCGGAAAAGAGCAGTATTGTTTTGGTGTTTGTTATGACAGCCATAGCGAACTGAGGAGATAACAATTCATAGGCAAACAGTCCTTACACCAGTGCTTCTCCTACTTTGATGTTTGCCTGGGCATCTTGTTAAAATGCAGATGCTGATTTAATTGTTCTTGGATGGACCTGAGCGTCTGAATTTGTAACAAGCTCTCAGGTGATGACAATGTTTCTGGTCCTCAGGCCACACTTTGAGTAGCAAGACCTTATAACATGACCAACACAGCATTGGAAATGCAAGTTTCCTGCCCCAAGTTAGACCATCCACATCTTCATTCTCATTCATCTGAGGAACTCTATAGGCACTAGAGTTTCTCTCTTGACAATACTTACCTTGTCAGTGAACCCTATAATCCTGAAGCAATGCTGAATTGCTTCAAATTGTCTTCGGTAAGACTCCTTGGAAGTTATGTCGAGCATCACCCTTCCAGTTTCACCAGCTATGTACCTAAATGAAGTGGAGTATGACCAAACAGAATGAGCAATGACTTGAGAATAGCACCTCAAATGCCAGGGCAGGTGCCACTTGGGTTCCTTCTTTGCAAGGGCACTTTCTTTATCATTCAATACTGTGGTGGAACTACAGTGCACATGGCTGAGTAAAATGGCTACAGTTGAGTTTCTGAACTTTCTAGAAAATGCAAATTGTGAAATGTAGTTCCTGCCACTTCATCCTGGATATCTCAGTTAAATAGATTGTGCATTTCCAGTTAGGAAAACAGCCTATTCCGTTTACTTCTGAGTCTGTCAATTGCTAATTGTACATTCATTAAAAATTAACAACCAAAACACCTGACACTTACCTAGGAGGCTTTTCCTCAGGAAGCCTAAACTCAGAAAGTTTCTTTTGATGATAAAGACCAGCATAAATATGGTAAAATATGTGAAAATTTTTCTCTCCCCTGAAAAAAAGGGGAAGGGACTTTATTAATAACATATTCTGGGCTTCCCCACCCCAAGTAATTTACACCATTTCCTTTTTGTGCAAAATATTATTCCATAGCAAATTTGCATTTTTAAGCTATTAAATATGCTACATCCAAGTTACAGAATAGTAATAGTGATAGGATTAGTATAAAGGTTTTGTCACAATCTTACATTTTTAAACACACTTATTGTTAATATAAGCAGAAGGAAGTTTTAGAGAATGGAACATTTACAGGAAACAGCTCAGGTTACACGTTTAGAGATATTTCTATTCTGGTCCAAATGCCTGTGCATTTCTGCCACATGCTTCTGTTTGTAGCCCCTGCTGCTTCAGAGACAGTGAGGTCAGCTGAAAGAATTGGGCCAAATCTCCTACTTTCCTGGAGCCCCAGACATCACCTCTCTCTCCCTAGAAGTGGCTTGCCACTTGTACAGCAGGTTAGGGAGTGGAATAGGTCCCAGGACCGAGGTCTCCACTCTCCCAAATCAGTGTTCTTTCAAATACCATTCAAAATGTCATTCATCAGTCTTCCTGGTCTCCTGCTGTCCACCTTTTAGGCCACCCTGGCCAGGGTCCTCTAGCTAGGTGCTACTCTAAGCATGGTCTGTGGACTGGTGTCTGCCTATGGGGACAGAAGGAACTAGAGAGTACACGCCTAAACATTTTATAGCAAGTGACATTGCCATGACATCCAAGAGCATGATAATTTTTTTGATAATTCATTGTCATTGTATTTTACAAAGGTATTAGTCACAATGGGTTGGGAATTTTAAAAAACTGGTCCTTCAGCACAGATAGTTTGAAAAGCACTGCTCCAGATCCCTTTCTTTCCTCTGGGAGAGAACAGTATCTTCTGTTGATACCCCTGGGCTTTGGCAAATCCTCTCCTTGGCCAACCTGGCTCTGTGAAAGAAAACTTGTCTTCCTTTTCTCCTGTGTCCCCATTTGTGACCTGGCCCCCATTTTTTTCTCCAGCCTCTCTTGGGTACCCCACCCTCATTTGGTTGTTCATCCTGTCAAGGCTCTTCTGGTGCATTCCTAACCCTGCCCTGTATCCTAGATGACTCTACCTGCCGTTTCTCACTCATTTGTTCACTCAACTAATACATTTATTTTTATTTTTTAAATAAGTTTTATTGTGTATATTTAAGGTATACAACATGTTGCTATGGGATTCATATAGATAGTAAAAAAGTTACTATTCAACTAATACATTTACTAAGTGCCAATCATGGCGGGCACTGCAGAGATGTCAAGAGTATACAACAAAGACAATTCATGTCCTCTTGGGTGTCCATTCTAGTGATGGAGTTAGATGGAACAACAAGGAAACTTATGAGGAGGGCTTTGAAAGAAACAAGCAGGAGCTAAGATAAAGAATAATGCTGGGGAATGAGGGTTACTTGTATCAAGTCAGGAGAAGGGCTCTCTAAGGAAATAACACTTGAGTGAAACTCTGTAGCATGAGAAGGAGCTGGAAGGAGCTACAAAGAGAAGGGGAAAAAGAATCCCAAACAGAGGGAGCAGCACAGACACAGAGGCTCTGAGCACGACACCCACGTCGCACCAGAGTACCAGGGAAGAGGGAGCAGGTGGACAGGTAGGCAGGGCCAGGCCACGCAAGGCCTTGTTAGACCATCATGGGGATTTGTTGATTAAGCAATTAGAATTACTTGTGGTGTTTTAAACTAGAACTGGGGTGCACTGTAAGTGTGTGACATGCACACACTTGTGTTGAGAAAAGTGCTCTTCAGCTGCAGGATGAAGACTAGATCAGGGAGACCAATTAGGAGGCCCAGGTGAGAGAGCAGAGTGCCTTGGATAGGGTAATGGCACAGGTGATGGAGAACAAGAAGAAGCTTAATTACGTATTTTGGAGAAACAACCAAAAGAACATCCTACTGGACTGAAAGAGGGTGGTGAGGGGAAGGGGCCTGGAGTCTGCCCCCCAGGTCTCCACCTTGAGCATTGAGTAAGGGGGCGCCGTCCACTGAGACAGGAACCTGCATGCCTGGTATGAGAGTCGCTTCTTCTTTAGCCTCTGTGACACGTGCAGGCTTTGGCCGACCCTTCCTGCTCTTACCTTCCTGTAGTTTTTCTACAGATACCTCTAGCTCTCAATTCTTCCAAGCTTTTCCTGCCAACATCCATCCGTAGCATAAATTCAATTTGATTTTCATCCCTTTATGTCTATCAGGATTGGCTAGGTTTTGTTGCAGTAACAGATGTCCCATGATCTTAGTGGCTTAGCTCACAAAGGCTTACTTCTTGCTCTGAGCACATGTCCATGATCGGCTGGCAGTGGGGCTGTGCTCACTGTAGTCACTGGTGGGCCCAGGCTGATGGAGGAGACACTGCCTTACACTTGGCCAGACTCTGGAGGGTTGCCATGAAATGCCCATTTGCTAGAACCTTCATATGACCACACCCAGCCACAAGGGGCCAAGAAGGTAACCCTACAGGATGCCCAAAGGGGGAAGAACCACAAAGGTTAGACAAACAGGACTTGCACAGGCCCCATCTTCTCTTTATCTCATTTAATTCTCATAACCGCCTTGTGAGATTGACATTAGTATTCCCACATACTAAAAAGTAAAAGTAAGGTAGAAGGATATTTATGTTAATAAGCGACAATACCACAAGAAGTGACATAGCTTTGAATGGAATCCTCCTCACATTATCTTAGTAAAAGACCACTTTACTTTTGAACACAGAACACTGTAGTTTCCAGTCTGTCAGAGGTAGCTCCCTAAATTTTAAAATCATCCTAATTTGGGGAGAAAGAAGCAGGGGACCTCATAAGAATTAATCAAAAAGCCACGGGGAAGCTTAAATGACTCTTCCTCTATCTTCTTGTTCATTTGTTTGATGTTCACACCAGTCCCCACTGCGTGAGGAGACCACAGTGCATGACGGGGAAGACGCGGAGGCTCTTAACCTGGCATGAGCCCAGTGGTTCTGCCTGCACAGCACGTCTCAGACTCGTCAACGTCTCTGCATCTCCACTGCTGCCACCTTAGTCCACACCCATGTTCTCTATCATGTGGGCTTGCAATAGCCTCCTAATGACGTCAGTCCCTCTTGCATCTCCCCGATCCATTTGCCCTCTGAAGCTCGTGCGAGCATTTCAAAATGCAAGTTGGGTTTTGTGTCTCCCCTGCTTGAAAACGTTCAGTGGCTTCCTAGTGCCCTTAGCAAAAGGTTCAAAATCTTCTGCCTGGTTCCAAAAGCCCTGCATGATCTGGTCTCAGTCTCATTTTTGCCCCTCTCTCCCTCCCTGCTCCTGTCCCCAACTCATTGACAAACTTTTAATGATCCTTAGAGCCCCTCTTTCTTCCTGGACTAGATTATGTGCCTTTCTCCCCTGTTTCACCTTCATAGCACCTTACGTTGCTTTCTGGTACTTGTCACAGTTGCTCTACATATCAGTTTATTTGTTTAATGCCTTTGGTCCTCGCCTGCCCCTCTCCCACACACCCACACTCCCAGCTCTGTGAATACAGGGGCCTTGTTGATTGTGTTTACTCTTGTAATCCCTGCAGAGAACAAAGTGCTGGCATGCAGCAAGCATTCAATAATGCACAGGTATGTACGTAGGAAGCCGTGCTCCTGAGAAACTCTAGTGTCCTCTAATAATAATAGAAAGAGTGGCTAATATTCTGATAGCATGTACCATAACAGGCATTCTTTTAAGTAATTTTATATAAATGAACTCATTAATCCTCACAACAAACCCATGAGATTGGCACTAGAAGCATCTCCATTTCCCAAATGAGTCACAGAGAGGGTTAGTGACATGCCCAAGGTCACACAGTAAATGTCAGAGCCAGCATTTGAACCCAGAGCAAAGCCCACGATATTGATTATATAACTATACTGCTCTTCTTAAAACAGAGTAATTGTTGTTTTCTCTCTCTCTCAATGAAGGGGAAAAAATAACATGTTGAATATTCTTAGTGCTTTTTTTATAGACAAGTCCAATTTTAAGCGACGTAATGATTTTTAAGAGTGTCTGCAATGCTGTTAAATTCTACCTGATACAACCGACTCAGGAGAAACTAGCATACTTATCCCTAAAGCACTCCCACCCCAGCCCTTCGTACTCTGCCTCTTAACATCTTTTAGGTCAGAAATTACCATTGATCCTTTGCTTAAATGATTCCTTGCTCTCGGGGAAGCTGGGGAATGCTAAGAACAAGAGTGAAAATGAAGCCATTAAAATTCCCAAAGCCTCCCAGTTCATATTGCAGAGCAAAAACAGAGTGGACGGAAAAGGGCACGTACACTGCCTGCTTTATAACTCTGGATTTTTCGAGGAGATATTCAGAGATTCTTGCCCCCATCACAACTCCGGTTGGGGTAAACATCATTTCCAGATATTTTCCAAAACGGCTCGAGTTGTCATTGATGGCAGTGCATGCGTTCCCAAAGGCTTCAACCAGGGCGTTGACTTGCAGAATTTTCTTTCTCAAGGTCTGATTATTGGCCTGTGCCAAACAGAGAACAATCAAGAGGAGCCTGCAGCAAATTTGCCAGGTGTTTCTCCCTGGCCCACCAACATTCACATTGTTCTTTATTTACTTTTGCAGCTGACCAGTACAGGGATCAAACCCTGGACCTTGGGGTTATCAGCAGTATGCTTCAACCAGCTGAGCTGACCAGCCAGGCTAGCACATTGGCCTTTTACAAAGAGCTCTATTTGGGGAAATGGGCATAACTACCAGCATCGTTTTCTCAGGTGCATATGAATCAGATTAGGCTAGATCAGGACAGTGGCTTTTAAATCTAGCTGCATTTCACTTAAAATCCTTGACAGATAAAGTGCCTCAACAGTTTAGAAAGAATTTTAAATAGAGATCTCATAACTTTTCTCAGTCATCCATTATAATATTCAATAAACCTTACCTATAAAAAATATTTCTTAAGTTCTCTCTTAGTCACCTAATACACTAATTCTGAGTATATGTAACTAATGGGCTATTTTTTTTTTTTTTTTTTTTTTTTTTTTTTTTTTTTTTTTTTTTTTTTTTTTTTTTTTTTTTTTTTTTTTTTTTTTTTTTTTTTTTTTTTTTTTTTTTTTTTTTTTTTTTTTTTTTTTTTTTTTTTTTTTTTTTTTTTTTTTTTTTTTTTTTTTTTTTTTTTTTTTTTTTTTTTTTTTTTTTTTTTTTTTTTTTTTTGTTTTTTGTTTTTTTCCGTGTCCGGCAACGGATCGCAACCCTCAGTGTTGCCCCCGTACCGGACCGGGGACCGGCAACGGGATTGCAACCCTCGGTGTCGCTCCCGCGCCTCGCTCAGCCAGTGAGCGGGAACCGGTCTGTATGTGGGATCCGAACCCTCGGGCGGGTGCGCCGCCGCGCTTCCCAAGCGGCGCACTTACCCAGTGCGCCACCGGGCCGGCCCCTAATGGGCTATTTTTGAAGTCATTCCTTCAATCTCCATTTGACCAAACTGAACATTTTCATTTCCCTCAACTTTTGCTGAAAGATTTCTGTTTTCCATCCCGTTAATCACTGCAGTGGCTCTCCCTGATCTTGTTTCTAGTGTTTAACCACTTTTACTGTGTAATGGCTAAATGTTTCTATTACATTGAAAACATGAAAAATTAACTGCCGATAATCTAGTAAATTCGTGCTGGCATTATTTTCCTCAGTATGTGAAAGAAGGATGGCATGCTGACATCTTAAGAGGCCTCGCTAACAGGAAGCAAACCTAACAAAGATGAAATGTTTATATGTAACCCCTAATGAAAAACAGCACTTCCATCATTTATAAAATATGCAGTTATTCTGCAGGAACTTCTAGCCACCATACGTAAAGCAGATTAGTCAATACCTTTCCCAAGAAAGTCAAATGCTGAACAATCAGGTGGGCGCTTTCTGTCTTCCCAGAGCCACTCTCTCCACTGATGACAATGCACTGACAGAGAAAATGGAGTGTCAAATGAAGAATTCATAGCACAGAAACGACATGCGTGCTCAGGTTTGGTTTTCATATAACATCCACTACTGTACCCCTTCATTTTTCACTGAACAATATATCTTAGGAATCTTTCCATTTCAGTACATGGAGAGCTTCTTCAGCCTTTCACAACAAGTACAGCTGCTTGCTGTTCCACCATACAGACGTACTGTAATCTATTTAACCAGTTCCATACTGATGGATACTTGAGTATGTTCTTTTGTTATTACGAACAATATTACTATAAATAACTCTATACATAGGTCATTATGTTTACATGCAGGCTCATCTACAGAATAAATTCCTAGAAATGGGATGTTGGATCAAAAGGTAAATACATCTGTAAATTTAATAGATACTACCAAGTTGTTTTCCTGAGGATTCTACCAATATATGAAAGTCCCTGTTCTCCTACAGCCTCACCAACAGAATACGTTTGATTTTTGCCATTCTGATAGGTAAAAAATGGTATCTCAGTCAGTGCAGTTTTAATCTGCATTTCTTTTATTATTTCTTTTATTCTTTCTACATGCTTAAGGTCATTCATACTTTCTTTTTTTGTGACCTATCCATATCCTTTGCCTCTTTTTTATTGTATTGTTTTTCTTTTTATCATTCATTCATAGGAGCTCTTTGTGTGTAAAGGATATTAGTGGGTATATATAATAAAAACTATATGTTTGGTCTTTGTCCCTGGTGCTTGGCACAGAGCTCCTAAAACCCTTGGAATTTCCTTAGTGATATACGTGATAGGAACATCTTTTTTTATTCACAAGGAGCCCTTTTCAATCATAACTCAGTTTATTGCTAAGGAAGTGGTTCAAGATGGAACCCCTTGGCAGCTTCAGGATGGGGGCTGGTCACTAGAAAGACCAAACATGTGATCAGAGGGTGGGAACTTTCACCCCCACCTCCTAGTTTGTGTTTAACTCTCACTGAGTTTAAGGTTTATTCAATCTTTACCCAAGCCATCACAATTTCTCAGCAGCTACACAGTGTGGTGCATGATCACTGCCAACCTAATACACAATATTTCATACAAAAAGAATCAGATCATGAAAATTCTGAGCACTTAATAGGAAGATATTTCATTTATGCCATTTTACATCCCGTTTTTATTACAATCATTGCCACATAATCAGGCTGTGTTTCCTTTATGTTCTCATTGGATTCATATTAGAAATATCTTTATTAAATCTTATCAGAGAAAATGAGTGCTTTTGATATGAATGTTTCATGTTTCTTGAAAAGGATTATGTTCTCCTGCTACTACCGGCTTTATCAGTGTCCCAGTTCCCCTGAGCTGCTGTTTCATTTCCTATCTCTCTGGGGGAGCATCAGCAACCAGAATGGAATGGTTTCAGGAGGACATGAGCTGAAGAGGAAGATAAAACCTGTCTTACTGTGTGACTTGGTAGAAAAGGAAGGTGAGTTCTTACCTGGTCTTTACTGAGGGTAACCATGCACTGGTAAGCAGCATCTGCTGATGCAAATATGTGGGGGGGATTTGAGGCACGTTTCACCCCATGATAAAGTCTGGAAAACTGAAGAAAAAATAGCTAATTTAAAGGAACCTTCTCATGCTCCACTGGACCATCTAATGTTCCATTATCGGTTGCCCACAAAGCCAAGATTTTGTCACTTATTAGGGGACTTGTTGCATCAGGAAGGCTGTAGAGCACAGGCTCTGGAGTCTGTAGGCCTGAGTTCAAATCCTGCTTCTGTACTTAATGGCTTCATGAGCTTGTGCAAGGAACTTCACTCTATGCAAAGTCTCCTCATCTGCCAAAAAGGCTTAACCTGTCCCACAGGGTTGTGAGAAGTGGGGTAACCCAGTGCCTGGCATGTAGTAAGCCCTCAATGTATGTTAGCTATTATTGCTACAATTTGCTTTAAAAAGTTACCTCCAAAATGTAGGAGTACCATTTGTGTTGCATTGTTATCTAAACTTTGAGGTATACACCTCTGGGGTAGCATATTTTTTATTCTCACTTTTCTCTTATTTTTATTTGCCCTTGTGATTCTTAATTTCTTATTAAGGAGAAATATGCTCTGAAAGTATCCATTACCTGTGGGGAGTATATGCTTAGATTCTGGAAAGGGTTTAAGGCAATTAAGATGTCTCCAACGTATGTGTAAATCAGCAAGTCTGCATAACGTTTCTGCAATTGATGAATAATTGTATCCTAAAGAGAGAATAAATGGCATTGAGAGTAAGCATTATTTCCAGTCAAGGAAGAGATTTTTTTAAATGACAATAAATTTATTCTTATAAGAATATTTTTCTCTAAAAGATGAAAGTAGTCCATTTAAGTCGTACGGTCATCCTAATGGTCGTAAATCATTAAAACGATGCAGACATTTGCCTTGAAAAAGAACAAAATAGAAATACACCGAAATAATTAGGCCCACTTAGGACTTGCTAAAAGACATTGAGATTTCCAACAAAGTTTTTACTTATTGTGAAAAAAAAACTTGTCTTGGCCAATCAAAATGTTCGATTTAGAATTTTTTATAATAGGCTATTCCTACTGATAAAGCACAGACAAAATATTAACTTCATTTTTCAAAGCGGTGACCTTAAAACTAGGTGGTAGGTTCAATTATAGAATTGAACACTTTTATATTACACTTTAGTGATTCAAGCATTGACGTTAAAGGTCCCCAGAGTCAGATTCTGCAGAAACAGGTTCAGTGCAATTAATGGCTCTATTAAACATGCATATTTTAAATGAGGATTATCACAGTTTTCAAATTTAGAATTCAAGCTATACATTAACTTCACTATTTCCCTAAATGAAGCTCCTCTTTATGAAGAATAAACAACTATCTTAGGGGTTAACTGCAATTATTTATTAAAAAGAAAATAATTTTAGCTGATACAATCCATCATTTAGGCTTGAGATATAAAGGGCTTTATTAGAAAAATCGAAATCCTTTTCTCTTCTTCATTCTAGGGACCGTAAATGAACAGAACACAGGATCACAGTTACAACAACTGAATGCTCCCTGAGCTAACCCCATGGCTACGTAAACAATTAGATTTTCAAATGACCTTAGGAGAACATGGTTTACAACAGAAAAGTCAGACAATTCATGTGAAACAAAAGCTATCAATGAGAATTGTCTACTAAATGTTGTCTACCTCATCCAGAACCTCTAGATTGACCAAATCATCCTCAAGGCAGTATTTTTCAGCACCCTCCACATGATAGGGTCTTCTGGTATGCATCCTTTCATGCCTAAGAATTTATCAAGAGAGTATCAGCGTTAAGACAGTTAACAATGTAGCAGAAAGTGAGCAACAAGGATGACTCATTCACACTTTTATCACTTGACATGTTCAGAGACTTCAGAGACAGGGACAGGAAGAGCAAGTCTAGTCCAGGTCCCCAAGCTCTCCCTGTCACTGTAGAGCTAATGGGGTAGGGTGAGTTCTGTAGCTCAAGTCTCCCTTCTGCCACAATGAGGGGCATTACCAACAGGGTTCACTTAATACATAGATTTGCTCTCCTTAAATGTCAACGACAGTACTTCCAGAAATAAATAATAAATGTAGGAATAGTGCCTACCTTTTTTCTGTTCAGTGTCAGGCATATAGTTCTCACTGGGCTATCATCATAAGTGCCTTACTTCCCTTGAGGTCCCCTGACCCCATCCACCAGCACCACCACCAGCTATTTAAGATATTTTCAAAACTCCATAAAAATTCAGAGTATAATATAGCAAATACTAAAGAATTGACAGTTGTTTACATTTTATCTCATTTGTTTATTTGAAATCCTTTTGCGACCTTCGTCCCATCCCACTCCCCTCTCATGAGGTGACCACTATTTGGTGTGTATCCTTCCACTCTATTTCTAAGTATTGGTCATATACATATATGTACCCATGAACAAAGCACAGTTCTGTATATTTAATTATAAAAATGATATCATACTGTAGGTTTCATTCTGTAAACTTGCTTTTTCTTATTTGAGATTATGGCTTTTTAATTAAATCTGTCTACCTTCCTAGTTTGGTCACTTTAATCACTGGGTAATATTACATCATATGAATATTTACAAATTGATTTAGCGACTCTTAGGCTGATCAACATTTAGGCTGATTCCAATATTTGCTACTGAAAATATTGCAGCACTCAATATCTTTATATTCATCCCTTTGTGTATATTTGTGACATTTTTCTCTTGGAGGACACTGCTCACCAAGTATTTTAAAAATTTGGTTAGTAATCAATAACAATCCCCTTTGGTATACTAACACACAGCTACTGAAGGTATAAAATTAATTCAAGGTCAAAGTAGGCCTTGCCATAATTCCCTTCATAAACTTATTAGTACAGTGAGGGAGGGGAAAGCATTGGTCTAGAAGTTAAACACTCTGGATCCTAGTTTCAAAGTTGTGAGTAATGTGGTGTGGGTCACTCAGCAAATCCCTAAACAGCCAGCATCTCAGTTTTTTCCATCTATAAATACAATCGCTCATGACTAGTCTATCTATCTCACCAGTGTCCACGAAAGCACATACAGTCATGGGTATCAAAATGCAAAAGGGTAGAAAGAAATGCTCCAAATACTATTCTTATATCCTTGTCAACATGTTGAATCAGCAATTTGCATAACTTCACCTCTTACTCAGAATACCATTAATGAAACAAAGTCACATGTGAAATGTCCTCTCACATATGTAAAGTCACTAGTAGAGAAACATCACTGCTTGAAACATCACACCTTTCTTTTATGTTCACCATCATCACAGCTTAAGAGGATGTCACCCACTTACACAGTCCTATTTAGGTTCCAGGAGCTGGCTTTGACTGAGTGTTTGACTGCAAGTACCATGTAGACGTTATGGAATCCTGATGTACACACACCCTGTCCCTTGCTGTACACATTTCACAAAAGTAGGTAAAAAGGAAGAAGCAAACTCATCATCTCTGCCTATCGAGTCTTATGTTTATATACAGTGGAAAAGGGCAAATAAAGCATTGACTTTTTTTCTCTTTCTAGCCTATTAAATTAAACCTTATTTCCCAATTCCCATCATTCATTGATAGATTTGAAAAAAGGATATTTGAAACACATTATTAGTCACCTCCAGTGCTAGAACAAGTTTTGCTGTTAGCACTAGTTTTGCTGCTAATTCATACAAAGGTCCAAAATAGAATGGGGCTTAATTTATTTAATAAAATCACATTTATAACCTAAGCATTTTTTAATTTAATAATGGAATGTTTACTTACCTGTGTCCTTATGTATTGGTGACATCAAAGAGAAATCACATTGGTCTGAAATACAGATTTTTTACTAAAACTCAGAACTGCTGCCTGCTTCTAGCTAAATAAAACAGCAGGAGGGTATATATTTCTGGCCAAAATCCCCTTCACATAAAGCCTAAATTTTTTTACTTGCAGTTTATCATAAAATAAAATATTGTAGCACATTTTTAATGAAATAATTAAATTCCCATTATATTAAGTTCAGCTAATTTATCTTCTTTCTAAATTCATATCTTACAATTGCATGAAATAAGCTAAATTAGAAGTTATTCTACACATCATTTGACAAGGAAAATCAGAAATTAAAAAATTGTCCACAGATCCAGTTCCAGTCAAGATGGAGTAAGCACTCTCCACTCTGTCTCTCTACTGAATGCAACTTACTAAACACCCTGGACAGAATGCATGAAGCAGCCAACTCAGGACTCTGAGAAGTAACTGGTAACGGGCAGATTGGAGAAGGAAATCAGAATTCAAAATACCACTGGGCCAATAGTGAGTTTCCCAGGGTATTTTTCTTCCACTTCTAACTTGGATTTAAAGGCAGCCTAAACTGCATGTGGTGATATCAGTCTTTATGTTGGATGACAACTAAAACTGGAAGCACTAACAAAACCTCACTTGCAATCTCACAAACAAATGCACTATAGCAGAAAGCTGTAATTTGCAGTGTGACCATACACAATGCAATATCACCAGGATCAAAATTGATATCTTATAATCATAACAATTGCTTGAACTTCTTAAGACAAGTGAAGAGATATGATGTTGGGGGGGGGGAGAGGGGGGAGGAAGAGGAATTGGTAAAGGGACACAAAAATCAACTACATTGTATATTGATAAATTAAAATTTTTTAAAAAATTGGTATCTTATGAGCCTGCAGCAAATTGTATCCTATACCAATCTATCTATCTCACATATTTAACTTCCAAAAATAATGCAGAAGCTGAATGTAAATCTGAGCTTGATTCTCATAAAAGTCTTCCCCAGTAATATTCTATAAACAAAAAAGCAACTTTTAAAAGAGTTTACCTGCTGCCTCTTCCTCTGCTATGGGCAATAAAATTCTTTATTTGCTCTCAAAATTGAAGCTGGCAATCTAGAATTTTGTGTAAATGAAGATATTTTCACTCTGATAAAGACCACTTCATTTTCCCAATCAGAAAAAAAAAAAAAAAAATACAGACACACACACACACACACACACACACACACACACATATTTGCAGCCTATCTCTGCCTTCTTCTTCTTAAACTGATGCCTTCTTCATATTCATTCTTTTGCTATGGGGTTTGGAGGGTTTATTGAACAGATATTTTGTGTGTGTGTGTGTGTGTGTGTGTGACCGGTAAGGGGATCATAACCCTTGGCGTGATGTTGCTCGCACCGCGCTCAGCCAGTGAGCACACTGGCCATCCCTTTATAGGATCCGAACCTGTGGCCTCGGTGCTCCCAGCGCTGCACTCTCCCGAGTGAGCCACGGGGTCGGCCCGAAGAGAAAAATTTTTTAAAAATTATTTATTCCAATTTTTATCTCTTTTTAAAACATTAGCCTAGACTATACATATACTTATATAAAGTGTTATGTTATTTTAAACTTTGCTATTTCAATTGAAATTAATAAAAATAAATTTGGTTTAATTTTTTTTTTCAGTTTTCTTGAATTAAATGATTTGTCATCACTAGTAACTATGGACTTTAATTTCTTCTAAATTCATGTGCTCCACCTAGTGCCTTACTTGAGAATACTATCTATTATCAATTTTTTGCAGAACTCGTTTCATATGAAAATTACAGATCTCCAACTAAAAAGTACTTGGATTGAGTATTACAAAGCTTAGAGGAATGGAGAGATAGATAAATGGATGGATAGACAGCAAAAGGCTTTCTATTAAATCAAGAGTATATGGTAAGATATTGCAGGTTTAAAGGCTCAGAAGACATTTTCAAATTCCAGCAAAGTCTGTATTGTATTTTGCTAGATTTCTTACGTTTTCTTATGAGGCTCTGAGTATGCTGGCTGCTAAGCCTGGCTTCTCAAACAAATGGAGTTTGGGGGTTAAAGATAGAGGGGAGGCTCTGGCTTGGACTGGTTCCTAGAGTTTGGGTTTAGCGTGGTAGCAGGGGGCGGAGTGTGGACAATGGAGTTGGCCTTAGGTTTCAGGGACCAGGAAAAGGGGGAACTCATGTCTAAGTCCGTGGCTCTAGTAAGGTGGAAATAAGGGCAAGCCTGAAACATCAAAGCCAAGGCAATGGAAGGAGAGTAGGAACTGGATCTGAAGAGTGGGTGAGACTGAGCCAGAGTTAAAGGTTAGGAGTTCTCCTAAGACCGCAGTGGGCGTAGATGAGGTAGAGAATGGGGGGCTTTTGTGGAATATTTTTGGAACAGCCCATGTGTGGGAAAGAAGCTTTAGAGGGCACCAAACTAGCTCACATACTAGAGAAACTGTTCTCATCAAATAAACTCCTGAGTGTAGTTTCAGTGTAGTTTAATCTCTGTATCTTCATTACATTTAAAGCCATTTCAGTGTGAATACTCTTTAATATCCCATCACTGGGCCTGCCAACTTCTTTGTCTGAGCTGCTGGCCCTATGAACGATATTGACAAATATCATATATTTTGCCCCAAAGTCACTCCTTAATCCCTTAACCTCTTCGTGTCTACCAACCATGCCTGTGGAGGCAGCGACTTCCATGTGGGTAGGTACACACAGGGGTGCAGGAGCCGCACATGGGTGTGGCAAGATGCTTTCTTTCCTTCATCCCGCCAACTATGATGAAGAACAAAGCAATAGAAGGAAGTGCTCTAAGTCACAGCTGAAGGATGAGAAGGAGACAAACTCTTTTAGCCTAATAATGACAAGCAATATGCTAGTGAGAGGTTAATCTCTGCACCGAGAAATGTTTGATGGCCTTTCAGACAGTCCCCCTGTGGCAGAACCATTGTGAAGGTCACCT